CATCAAAAGCATAAGTCAGGCCTGGAAGCTCATGCCTGTAATCCTAGAAGTTTAGGAGGCTAAAGTGGGACAATGACTCAAGCCCAGGAGTTAAGACCACTCTGGGCAACATAAGGAGACTTCATCTCTACAAAATATTTTTTTAAGTGAACATTAGCTGGGTGTGGTGGCATATGTCTGTAGTCCTGACTACTTGGGAGGCTGAGGTGGAAAAATTGCCTGAGCCCATGAGTTTGAGGCTGCAGTGAGCCATGATTGTGCTACTGAACTCCTGCCTGGTTGACAGAGTGAGATCTCAACTCGGGAGAAAAAAAAGCATAAATAATAATAATGCAATTTAGAAATGATTATTTTTCAGTATTTATTACTTTTAAGATAATATTTAACTTTAAATTTATATAATTTAATTTTTAACAATGACTGTGTTTATTAATCACCCCTCAACATTCTTGAAAGTTTAATAATCAATTCTCGTGAGCCAGAATTAACCAACTCAAATATATTACTGTTATAGTCCCACATAAAATTGTAAGCTGAAACCAAAAGCTTCAATTTTTTTACTAGCAATTAACACCACTATATGCGATAGTTGCTATATATGATATAATTAACAAACTTGCTTTTTATTTCACTAATCTGCCCTCTCTAGAATGTAGGTTTCATGAGGTCAGTGATTTGTCTGCCCCTAGAACAGTGCCAGAATTCTAGTGAACACTCTATAGTTACCCCAGTTAAAGGAATGAATGACTCTTTATAGCTCCCAGGAAAAAGGAGTTTAAGGCTACTTTCCGTGATCTCACACTTGCATAACTTCTATTCTTGAGCTAACCCACAAAAAGAGTTTTTCTCTATTGTTATATTTTCTCTGGCATCCAGCACCTCAGAATGTGACCTTATTTGAGATAGGTTCTTTACAGAAGTTATCAGGTTAAAGAAACATATAGTGGACCATAATCCAGTAAGACTGATATCCTTATAAAAATTTGGACACAGAGGCACTCACAGAGAAAAAAAAATGATTTGAACACAGGGAAAGTGACATGGGAGCAGAAAAACCGCCATTTGCAAGCCAAAAAGAGACTCCTGGAATAAACCCATTCCCCAAGGCCCTTAGAAGGAACCATCCCTCCCATCACCTTGATTTCAAACTTGTAGGCTCTAGAAGTAAGCGCCCAGTTTTGTTGTTTAAGTGCCCAGTTTATGGTACTTGAGGACAGCTCTGAGCTGGAGATTATTTAGTCAATGAGGACCCAGCAATGAAAATACCACAAACAAAAATCCTTGTGCTTTATTCTAGTGAGAAAAAACAGTTGTCAAAATTGAGAATTAAATTAGCATGAAGACAATAAGTAAATTAGTGTGTTGGCAATACAAACACAAGAGAGAAAAATTGAGAGAGACAAGAAAATTAGCTTTCAGAGAGGTATGAACAATAGGCTGTGACCAGTATCACTGATGGTGAGATGACAACTGCGAATACCCACTAGATTTGGAAACATGAGAGTCATAAAAGATAAGATTATATGAGCATTTTCAGTGTCGTATGCATCCTGAATCAAGCCTGGAGGGACTTGAACTTGAACTTAAGTGGAATAAAGCAGGCTTACATTGTAGTAGAAATAGAGAGGCATGGCCTCAAGCCTCCTTGAAGGAAGAATGTGTTGTCCAGCATGAGGAGTGCATTCAGCACCCACTTTCACTGTCAGCATCTTTAGACCTGTCTTAGCTATCTGTAATATCTTGCCTGAAGTCACATTATTTCTAAGATAGCACTCATTCAGTGACTGAATAAAGTAGGATGCATAAAGGTCTGGCTATTTCAACCCAAACCTGGACACTCAGATAAGAAATCTATCCTCCAGAGCTCCATGCTGCATTAATCTAGGCTTGGTAAGGCCTGCATTGCAGATTAATAAAATCCACTGTGCATTCCTGCTCCTTCCCCTTTCCCAGCACAGTTTGTCCGCAGAATAATCGTGCACTCAAATATCCACCTTAGTGTCTTCCTTAAACCTAGACAGTTCTTTTAGAGATTTGGCTGTAAGGGTTTTTTAAATTTAGGGACTATATACTTTAAATGTTTTAGATGACAGATATTATTCCATGTTTTATGCAAGGATTGAGGATGTGTTAGTACATCAGTCACAATGCATACAGGGAGAGATCTGAGAATTTCTGTGCCTGTTAACTTTCTCTAAGCTCCAATTCATGATGAAAATTTGCCACCTGGTAAATCATACAAGTCATATCACTCAGACTCATCTTACAAGTATTAGGCACTTTCTATTTTCTTTCATTAGAGGACCAAAAATCTGTTTATATTTGGATGAATTAAGCTTTTGTGCCTCAGGTTTTTAATTGATTATAAACTCTATGTTATTTTTCTATAATGCTTTAAAAACAATGGCATTTTATATTTACATAGCTCAACAAACTATATTGTATCATTTAAATTTAAACACTTCTTAATTATTAGTAAATAATAGATGTATTTATAAAGTAACTAAAATCAAATCCTTACAATTGAATTATCAAGTGTACACAATCAGTATAATATCTTCCCTCTAAATACCATCAAACATATCCATCTCTTAATATTTTAAAATTTTCCATAAAATATAGTTAGTATCATGGTTAAATCATTGATTTTATATTTCCACTATACACCAGACGTATTTAAAGATCAATGGTTACAAGAATGTATGAGTATCCTTGAAAGCCTGGGGATTACCTTAGATTTTTCAATTATATTTGTACTTTTCTTATGTGACTACATGAATATACTGTAATCTTCCTGATTACAATATAATCTTATTCTCAGAAATTTAATATTCACTTGACTTCTCCATGAGTGTCTTAAGGATTCTATTTTAAATTCTATGCCAAAAGAAAAAAAACATATACACATGCATATATATGAAATCATAATACTTTTAGCACTCACATATTTGAGTTTACTCAGTACTGTGTATTTGTTATATGTGGCATACATAACACATGTATGTAATTTATAGGCATACCAACATACGAATGTATAGATCATACATAATAGCACCCATAGAATAACAACCAGCTTGTTAATCCAGATATCACAATAATTAAATTTGTATTCTAGGATAAATAATTAATGTTTGGTTACTTATGGGCTAATATTTCAATTATATCATTGCTGATGGAACTAGCTGGTCATTGACATGTGCATCTATATTTATAGAGCAATGTTTTATTAGGTTTTTAATAAAATGACTTTAAATATGGCTATATCAATAACACACATTCCAAATGTTTTGGGTATATTTATATTAAGTACCCTTTCTTAAATAGTAACTGTGACTAAAAAAATTCTATATAAAGCATTTTATTATTTTTAACCCATTTTAGCCATCATAAGCAAAACAATAAATAAATAAGGAGAATGACAGAAAAATATTCAATGGATAAATAAGGCATAATGTATCTATGTGATAGTATTTCTTATATGTGTTTGCATTTGGATCAAATTTATTTTTGTAAACTACATGATCAAGCTATTTTCAAAAATCCTACTTAACTGTGTCTAGTTTTTTAGACATAGTTAACTATGACTTAACTATGTCATTATTTTTATGGAAATTTCTTTCTGTTTAAGTTTGAGTACATAGTCAAACATTTAATATCTTGCCATAAAATATAATTTGTACTTGATACTTATATTTTTAAAATTATCTTTCTTTTTTTGATTAATAAGATCCAATAAATATAATAGATAATTTTATTACACCCCATAGAGTGCAAGTTTTTTGATGATAAGAGTCTGAATAAATGTTCATTAATTGCAGGAAGTTGTGCTCCATATGTTCATTGCACAGCAATTATTTGGAGGTCAGTTTTTTTTTCTTCCTTTTGCTTATCTTCTAAATACAATTTTTACCTGAAATCATGAAATATATTTAGAATGTACCAAAGCTGTGGTGCTACCTTTTTAAGCTATGTGTGTTTCTGTATAAGTATATGCACTTCAGTTCTGGAGAGACAAAGAGAGAGAATGGGAGTGGAAAGGAGTGAGAGAAAGAGGAAGGGAGGGAGGAAGAGAGGGAAAGAGGAGAGAGGAGAAGACATAATCAGCAGGAAATATGTAGCATTGATTTAATGATGCTAGGAGTAGTTATAGAATGCTAACCATCATTGATTTTCCTATGAGAATGAGTAAATTAGTATGTGTGTGTGTGTGCAAATGTATTTGTATGTATCCCAAATTTTAATGCCATTGCTCAGTGTAGCAAACTACTCTCAAAATGGAAAGTTTTTTAAACAATAATAATTGTGGAAGTCAGGAAATTGTGGAAGTCAGGTCAATTTCTCAATCCATATGGCATTATTTGGGTTGCTTGGTAGCATCTATCTGGCACATGAACTGGTATGGAGGTTCACAGATTGGTCCAATCACATGCCTGGTGCCTTAGTAGGAATACCTGGGAGACCAAGCCCAGTTGGAACCCTTGCTATCTTTATGTGATCTCAGGTACTCTCTACATAGTCACATTAGCAAGCTAGCCAGACCACTTACAAGTAAGCTCAGGAATCCTAGAGACTGAAACAGAAGCTTCCAAACCTCTTAAGAGCAGGAAACAACAGCAAACAAACAAAATACTGCTAATGTCACTTTCGTTATACTGCCTCAGTCCATTGTACTGCATTGGTTAAAATAGTCATGGACCAGCCCAAATTCAAAGGGAAGGCAAATAGAACCAGGCTCTTGATAGGACCATTGTCAAAGAACTTATGGGAGGCCTTGCTGATCCATCAAGCCTTGAACATTTTCTCTAGCTGCTAGAAACAGTCTCTCTGGCATTTGATTCCCTTTAAAGAGAAGACCTAAAGGGCTAGTGGCCACTTGAAACAAGATGAATCTTTATTTTCTAAGATTCTCACTCTTTCTTCTGTTACACAAAAGACTGAATCCTGAGCTTTCGGATTCAGTGACCCTGGTTAACCCATCATCTTTCTGCCATCTCTTGAAGGAAACACACTCCAATGGGGATCTTTGATTGCAATGCTATTAGAACCTAACCTGGCCAAGAAAGTCAGAAGCTACTTCTGAAACTGCATTGCCAAGGTGCAGGCTTTCTTTCAAAATCTACTTGAGGCTCTATGGGTCAAAAGTAGAGAATTATTTGAAACAGGATTCCAAGCTTTTTTTTTTAGCCAAAAACATCAATTCTGAAGAAAAATTTGTGAAGTATTTCATGAATGTACACATAACAACAAAATTGTATATGTTCCATTCACTCTGGAAGAGGCAATGAGGGAAGGAGGTGATGGAAAGAAAAAAATTCTCATTCCATATACAAGTACTGCTTGCACTAGTGGTTATTTTGTTATTATTTTTAAATTGTTATAATAACACTTAATGAAAGCTGCCCTTTTAACAGTTCTTTAAGTGCAAATATTGTGAAGCACAAGAACAATGTTGAACAGCAGATCTCTGGAAATTATTCATCTTGCATATCAAAAATTTATACTGATTGAATAGCAACTCACCAATTTTCAAAAGCCACAAGAAGATATCACTTTATATCACTTTATATATGTTAAGATAGCTGTTATCAAAAAATCAAAAGATAGGTTTTGGTGCAGTTGGAGAGAAATTAGAATGCATACTGTTGGTTAGAATGTAAACTCATTCAGCCACAATGAAAACTGCCTAGAGTTTCATCTCAAAATTAAAAATAGAACTGCCTTATGACCCAGCAATTTCAATTTTCTCTTCTTTTTTCTTTCATTTTTTTTTTTTTTTGAGTTGGAATTTCATTCCTCAGCCCAGGCTGGAGTGCAGTGGCATGCACGCCCATGGCCGCTGCAGCCTCAACCTGCTGGTCTCTGGCGATCTTCCAAGTAGCCAGAACTACAGGTGCGCGCTATCATGCCCGGCTCATTTTTTGATTTATTGTAGAGATGAGGTCTTGCCAAGTTGCCCAAACTGGTCTCGAACCCTCAGGCTCAGACAATTCACTTGCCTCAGTCTCCCAAAGTGCTGGAATTACAGGCTGAGCCACCGAGTCCAGGCCAATTTCAATTTTCATACCCATGGAGATTGACTGGGTTTTTATATAAGCTAAACTGTGTGGCTGCTGACTATATACTATGAAATTCATATCAACAAGAAGTGTCAAGTTATACATTTTTGAGCAGAAAAGTAATATTTTTGTGTGGTACTTCATGCAGAACCTAATCAACAAAATGTAACGATCAACATAAAGCATTCTTCATAATGCCAGACATGGATGAAACACTCAATACTTGGTAGTAGTGCTATTAATATTATCAACATTATCATTATCATCCTTGGGATGTATTCCCAGATAAGCCTGTTTTCAAAGTCTATAGCATCATTTATTTTCTGCCATATACAGAGGGTCCCGGACTTTTGGTGATTTAAGTTACTATTTTTTAAAACAATTTTTGAACTCTATTATGGTGTAACCCCATTGTAAGTCAAGTACCATTTGCTATACGTCTCAGTAAAACAGAAATAAAAAATATACAGAAGTAATATAAATAAAATAAGTAACAAATTTAAAATAAATGCAAAAAAGGAAAATAAAAAATTCTGTTAGAAAAATCTTTAATAATCCATCAATATTACTACATTCTCTTCTCATCTGTCTTATTTACATCCTCAAATCCTTCGAGAGATAATGCCATCTTTTATAATGAGGTTCCTCCATCTGTTACTTTCTCTTTCCCTTCTTCCCTTTCTCCTTCTCTCCCTTAACCCTTCTCCTCCTCCTTCTTTGCCCTATCTCTCTATTTCTCCCTGTCTTTCTCTGTTAAAATGCCTCATGTTTCCTCTGTATATGGCTCTACAAATCTCAAGGGATGAATTGAGTTAATGCCACTTTGACATTAAGATTTTAGTGCAGAAAGTCCTGGGTTAAATTTCATATTTTGCAGTTTTGTGATCTTATGATTTGAGAAGAGTTATTTAAACTTTGAACTTTCTCTGTCATGGAGTTTTGTGAGGCAAAAAAAATGAGCTATATACCCAAAGGGAGCGCTTGAGTCACAGTTCATACACAATACATGTGATTTCCCCTTCCTTTTCTTCTCAGAAGAAATAAAATGCTTCACCATTAATTTTAATAGTTAAAAAAAAAAAAAGGTGTAGAGGTCAAAAAATGGAATCTTCCTACTAAAGAATAAAATGCCTACCTCTATGAATTTATGATTATTAATTTCATGAGTCGTGGCTTCAAGATAAATCTGCTGTTTTAAAAAAATAAAGATGCCAATTTATTAAAAAGTAAAATAAATAGCACAGCAAAAATATGAATAAAAATCTAAAGTTTAAATCCATCATCCCTTGGAACTTGAGTTGCATATTCGCCAAATTTAGCTGTAGAGGTAACCATGCTGGTCAGTCAAGCCAGCAACAATAACTGACAAGTAGTGAAATGGTCAATCTTGACTTTCCACAGGGGCAGAAGCAGAACAATTCAAACTTTCAATCACTTGAGAAACACAATATTGAAATGTTCAGAGAATATGTTAATCACTAAGTACCTAATCTCTACCATTATCCCACTAACGTTTCCACTGAAGCCAAATTTGTCTGTCCCCTGTCCTAAAGTGCCTTGTCTTTTCCAGTCCCAGGCCTATGTTTATGTCAGGTCCATGGGTCCTCTGCTTATGTATCCATTCCTCCTCGGCCTACAAGCATAGCCCTCTCCCACAGGGACTCTTCATTCCACTGTGAATGCTCTAATCATAGAATTATAATGTCATTATTTCTATTTTATAAGTCTTTATACTTCACATTTTCTTTCTTTATATTTTTTTGAGTTGAGTTGAAGTCTTATTCTGTCTCCCAGTCTGGAGTGCAGTTTTATGCTCACAGCCACCACAGCCTCGACCTCCCGGACTCAGGCAATCCTTCCATCTCGGCTTTCCAAGCAGCTGGAAATAAGTGTGCGCTACCTGGATAATTTTTTGATTTATTATATGAACAGGTCTTACCAAGTTGCCCAGACTGTATTATAGAAATGAGGACTGTATTATAGAAATGAGGTCTTGCCAAGTTGCCCAGGCTGGTCTCGAATCCCTTGGCTCAGGCAATCCTCTCGCCTCAGTCTCCCAAAGTGCTGGGATTACAGGCAGGAGCCACGGCGCCCTGCTGTGCTTCACATTTTATACAGAGCACAAACATATTCAACACACATTGAATCGGTGATGATGGGTGGAGAAAACAGATTTCTGGAATTCTGTTGTTGATGCATATGTATAAGTTAAATATCTATATATTTTTACTGTCTATACAAACAAGGGTGTATGGAAGGCACATTATAAAGTCAATTGGGGAAATTCAGAATGCATTGCTGAATATATGTATTGTATAATATTCTAAATGCTGAAACATTTAATTATCAATTGAATAGGTAACAAAAATCTTCCAGGTGCCTAAATCACCATAATCAGGCAGTTGAAGAGAAGAATTATTACTGCCTAGATGTTTAGTACCATCATTTAGAAAATAGTTAATGAAACTTTTAAACATATCAAAATCTCTCAGTATTCATGTTAATTATTTTAAATAAATAGGCCCTTCAATGAAATATGAGCACCTTAAGTCAATTACCATATGTTGTCAATTCTAGGTGAATATCTCACATTTATTCATTCATGAGAATCACTAAAAGAGCTTGTCACAAATACTTATGCCTGGGCCCCAAGGCTCTGGATTCTAATTCAGTAGGTCTAAGATGGGGGTCCTTTAATTTGCATAATAATGAGCACTCAAGGAGATTCAGTTAAGTGGTCCATGTGGCACATTAGAGAAACAATGGGAATTCAACACATTTTCCTTAACATAACAGACATTAAATGAATAACTGAGAAACAGCAAGTTAACAAAAATAAGCAATTGAGCAAAAGGGCACATGTATAGTAGTTTAGGTATGAAAGAAACTTTACCATTTCCTTTTATAAATGCATATGTGTACCTTAGAGGTTTTTGTAGGAATTTGAATGTGCATGTTTGTTTATTTATTCTAGCCTTTTAGGCATTCTTATTTCTGCAAATCTCCTGTGGCATTATCTAATAAACCAAATTTGTACAACATTTCCATCTTAGATTCTTTTCAGTGGGTAAAACGCAAGAAAACACTTTGGAGAAACTACTGCCATATGAATATCATTAGTCAGGGGGCATAAACATATGGTAGGCCAGTGAATCAGGCTCAACAAGTAATGATTATAACCACAGAAGGGCTTTCAATGTTATGAACTTGTAGACAGCAGAGAGTAATTCTCAGTTACAAGCCATTGCATAACAAGGTGATTGGAAAGCAGTTGTCAGAAGGTAATTTGTAGGCAATGGGGCACCTACAATTGTTTACTGGGAAAGTAATAAGAAACATAACAAAATAATACACAGGTGATCACATCTTGTTGCCTCAACCCAGCATCACAGGAGAATAGGAGGCAACAATTCTTGCTAAAAATTTTGAAGTAAACATTGCCAGTGAAGCATATCTGACAAACATTCAGAATATGCCATAACCATCTACCTAGTACGTATTGTAAACAGAATAATTCTCTTCATTTTTAAATAAATAAACAATGCAATAATTTCTGATAATTAATTTAGCTACTCTGTATTATTTTTCTGTGTTCTCTTATTAAGTTTATTTCAAAGACAAGAATAAGTTATCTTGCAATTACTGGATATGTAAATACATGGTTATATAGTAGAAATTGCCAACCAACTGACATAGTTTTTTAACTAGGACAACATAAATATAGCTTATTATAACACAGTAACAGGCTTAGATGTCACAGTTGTGAAAAATATATATTATCTTTGTATTTTTTTGTGTGTGTATATCCCTATACACATATGCAACTATTGACAAAATGCAACAGAGATAAAATGGTGAAGAAACGTGTGAAAATATAATGATAGAACTATGCCTATCTGATTGTGGCTATTCAAAGTATGGTCTTGTTCCACTTTCACATAAATCAAACTGAACGTTTGCATCTACCTCTTCAAGTTCATAAGTTGAATTCCTAACCCCAATTGTGATAGTATTTGGAGGTGAGGCCTTTTGAAGGTAA